TCTGACCTGATCTAAGACAGTAAAATGTAGTGTCCCGTTCATCCTGGGTGCAGCAGAAAAATGAGCTGTAAAACAGTTCTATGATGGAAAAAGATTGGAAAACTTTATAGCTATGTGGCGATGATGAATTTGAGCGTCAGTTTTGGCCAACTGTAGCCTTGTGAGAGTGACCATTGTTCAGAGATAAACCATCTCGGTTGGGAGTCAGAAACGGAATGCGTCACAACACCACAGTGTGTCTGATGGGTCAGCAGTTTTTTAAGGGTTTAGAATGCAGTTTTTACAGTTGTCGATAGTCTGCAGACCACCCAGAGTGTTTACGTTTATTCATATTGGCTCAGAATGTCTGAATATAAATCACTGACCAATGTCGATACCACTGTGGCACAAGGACAAGAGGAAGAGTGACTGGAAGAAAGAATGGAGAGTCCTTTGTGAAATATATGCAACCTGACTCCCCTATGGAGGGCTTTAGAAAATGCGTGTATCACTGTAGAAAGACTATAAAAAAACAGTCATTCCTCTGGACGATGTATGGTTACTTTATTAGATTAGATTGTGGTGGAAGATTAGATTGTGTTAAAGTAAAACTGCAAATGTGAATATATGTAAATTATTGTGTGAATGATTTACTGGTGTACTGAGTTACTGTATGAGAGCCAGATGGAGGCCTGGCAATTGAGGGGTATTCCCCAGTTTCCATGGTAACAGTACAATTATTTTATTACCTTCAAACCCTTTAGGGCGACACATTATCAGCCATACATACCAATAACATATTTGAGCTTTCACAACATTTTACACATTTGATAAAGATTTTGTTTGTCATATAGAACATTTCTATATGCAGTAAGTCCCATTCTAGAACATTTCTATATGCAGTAAGTCCCATTCTAGAACATTTCTATATGCAGTAAGTCCCATTCGGATACACAGTGCTCACTGCTCAGGCATGTCCAATTTACATGCAATTCCTTGTTTTTTCTCAGCTTCTCAATACTCATACCAGCTATTTCCATAGGCTTCCCATATTTTCGAGTTTTTCTGTCACTTAATGAGTCTTCCCAGAACCAGCAGCACGTTAATTGATATTCATGCGTGAGATTCACAGTTAGGAGTTTTACATTTCCAGATTTGTTAGAGGCACATATTGAGTTGCTAATACCAGCCTAGATGAGACACACAATTGAATCCACTCTATTCTAGCATGATGGACATCCTTATTTTGTCTACTAAACTCGGCATGTGATACCTCGTTAATATTTGATGATATCATCCAGCTGGAATAAAAAAGAAATAAATGCAATACAAGTGCTTCAAGGTAGAAAGTTTTCTAAACAAGGTTCTTGACGATTGTAATGGGTAAGTATTATTCTGGCCATTTGGTTGGTAATATAGTGTTCCTGATTGACTTTTGAGTATGTTATCTGTTTTTTGCCCTGTTATTGCCCCGGCCCAGGGGGCGTGATGACAGTGGTTTGGCTTTGCCAGACACGATTATCTAATGGCTTCAATTTGTTTTTATTTCTCCCACCCGCTGAAAAACCACATGTTGAAAATTAACAAAGAAAATTAACCAATTGTAGCAATTTGATTGCATTGTCACAGTCCACGTCATGACTTGTGCAATCATTTTAATTGTATAATTTAAATGAATACATTATATTGCAGTACCCATATATCGACACTGATGAGCCAAAACATTATGACCACCTGCCTTATATGCTGTTGGTCCTCCTCGTACCACTAGAACAGCGCCACCCTGCCGAGGCATGGACTCTAAAAGATCTCTGAAGGTGTCCTGTGTATGTGGCACCAAGAGAATTTTGAGGCCAGAGCAACACCACATCATGTCCCTCCAACCATTCCCGGACAGCGTGTGCAGTCTGGCAGGGCGAATTATCCTGAAGAAATAGACCACTTAAGCCCTTGTTCTACCTTGACCTGTGCCCTTATATGGAGATGATCAACATTATTTGCTTCACCTGTGAATAGTCATTATGTTTTTGCTCATCAGTGTATACGGCTCATTTTACAGAAGCTTTGTAAATTTGGTGTAAGAATAGTATTTACATTTTCTTTATAGACGCAGTACTCACACACTTTGAAGTTTTCACCATTAAAAACAGTGAATACGTGCACAAAACTGAGCATTTTTTATTACTTTTTATAGCAAATATCACAACATTAAATGAAAACAATATGCAAAAACAGGCATAATTTGAAACAGGGCTTAATCCCTTTGGTTATGCCAAGAGGGTAACCCTAACCCACATGTGGCAAACTAAGGCCCACGGGCCATATTAAGGACCACCACGTTATTTGATGTGGCCCACAATAGCATTAGTTTGTGTGGCCTGCGAGAGCTAAAAAGGCACATTATTGTCTTAAAATAAAAGGATCTGCTCCTTTTCAGCATTTTAGTGACCATAAACTATATATCCCACAATGCATGTCGATTCTGTGTGACAAGTTTGATCAGAGTAATCTGGATTTCTAAACACAGAGCAATGTGCTCACATATAGTTCTACATTCAGTTTTTTAACAATATATTAAGTAGTAACTACATTTTTACAGTCTTAACAGTTACAACCGGCCCTTTGAGGGCCACAATAATGCTGATGTGGCTGTGGTGAAAATGAGTTTGACACCCTTAACCCTAACAATGGTTAATAGTAATAATTATGCTGCACCCCAAGGTGCAGAATAAGGACTTAATGTAGCTACTGCTCATTTAAACCACTGACTACAACTCTGCCATTTGAAATGCCATATGTTGAGGAGTGATAATGCGCTCCAGGAAATGACAGACTCCTCAATAGGTTTGATACAATGAGAATTTTAATGACCCTTCCAGCATTTTCTTTACAGCATACACCATGACATCACATAAAAAGAATAATTACGGTACATTGAAGTAGTACAGCTGCAGAGCTTTGACGAGTCAATTAATTCATAAAGTGACCGTTAAAGCAAAAAATTTCACATTTATAATACACAAGTATTATGTATTATGCACATGTGGCTTTGTTATGCAAATCCCCATATTATATACAGTTGGACCTACAATACAGCTTTATTAATGTCAAGGTAATTCATACAGTAATGACAAAGACAATATACAAAGTAAGTATTAAGGCCAGTAAAAGGTGCATTTTGCAATTAAAAGTAAATAAAGTCCTTGGTGGCAACCGTGTTGATGGAAGACAAGACAGGCAGTATCCAAGAGGAAGCAGATAGAAAAGCATATAGAGGGAAAGTGGGCTGTTACCCAGGAAGAGGCGGAATGGTTGAGGCAGTAGGCCAAGAAGAAGGCCTGTTGTCTTTATATGAAACTCTATTACCTGATAACGCTTGATTACCATTTCACCATTTCTATCTGGTGGCGACTGACCTGACAAACAAGCCGCAATGCCTGGTTACAGCATGGCAAGCACTTTATAGAGCATTCACAGGTTTTAATGGATTTCATTGCCACTATTTTTGCTTTTGTTTCTCTAACACTCTCTCTCTCTGTCTCTCTGTCTCTCGTAACCTCTCTCTCACCCTGTCTCTTTCACTCTCTGTTTCTCTCTTCCAGTCCTTGTACCTGATTCGCCAGGAGATGACGGTATCCCAAAAGCAGCTTGGGGAGTTCTGTGAGGCCTTAAAGCAGTATCTTAAGAATGTCTCTGCCCAAAGAGACTGCTTTCAGTGAGTGCAGACTCCTCGCTTTGTCGTTGTCATCTCTAATATACAGTTAATCTGCCGTGTGTGAGTGTCTGTGTTTTCTCTATGACAGATGTATTTTCAAACAAACATGTTATTTGTGAAACTTTGCTCAGGTTATATGGGACCGACACGACTCCCGGGACTCTCCACTGGATACTTGACCTCTATACTATAACAATGATCTGTTAACACGATTTTTATAACCTTCCAAATGCTTTTCATTAATTCACTTCTTATAGAAAAATTCACATATGTATGATAGCAGTGGGCCCAGGGGAGGGATTATCTTTCCCAGAGAAAATTAATAAAATGAATACATTTTATTAATTCATTAATTAACTTCTTATAGAAAAATTCACATATGTATGATAGCAGTGGGCCCAGGGGAGGGATTATCTTTCACAGAGAAAATTAATAAAATGAATACATTTTATTAATTCATTAATTAACTTCTTATAGAAAAATTCACATATGTATGATAGCAGTGGGCCCAGGGGAGGGATTATCTTTCACAGAGAAAATTAATAAAATGAATAAATAAAAAAGGCGAGATATGTCAACTACCTTATTTTAGGTAGATTCTAAGGACCCTAACCATTGGTCTGGCAAAGAAAGGATGTGCTGGGGTCTGAAGTGGCAATCAGACCTGTACGAGGTGTCCGTCCACCCGCTGGATAAACCTGTTAGACACGCTGTTCTCCTCTGCCTCTCCACAACAATAATCTAACCAGCAGCAATTTCCATGGGACACAGGAGTGGAAAACAGGGTTGAGCAGATTAGAAAAAGCTGGGTTTAGGATGAGAGAACCTCTCAGATCTTCTGTGCTCAGAGGTAATGTGTCACAATCTACCATAACAAAACAAACAAATGCAGTCATGTGATAAAGCAAATACATACTGGAAGATCTTTTTATTACATATTCGGACAGATTTATATCTCTCTTCTGAGTAAACTGAGTAAACAAGGTAGCCTAAGAAATGAACCAAGGTTAGACTTCAGCGTATTCATAAATGCAATAATTTTTTACACAAAAATACAGAAATTAATTTCTCATAGTTATCTTTTTTTTTACACTAGTTGCTTCAATAGCTGGATTTTACTTCTTTACTGTACTGGTTCCACTGCGTTATTAAGGCTCACCTCAAATCCCTACACCAAATTTGAGTAGGATTACGTTTTGGGCTCTGACTCGACCATCATTAACCACTGCCCACATTAATTATGCCATTAGGGTGTAGCTCTCCTGGTTAATTTAAGAAGTTTTGGTTCAGCATCAGTTTTTTTGAGGTTTTGGTATCTCAGTGGTAGAGTGCATGCTTTGTATGTATGATGTCCTGGATTCAATTCCCAAGTACTCTCCAGGTCGCCCTTACAAATGAGAACTTGTTCTCAATCAGCCTACCTGGTTAAGTAAAGGTAACATAAAATAAAAATATTACATTTTAACAGATGGCCTCAAAATTCTCCTTAAGAAAAGTCAGGTAGAATATGATATTTATGGTTGACTCAATAATGGCAAGTTAGCCAGGCACTGACACAGCAAAACAGCCCTAAACCACAATGCCACCACCTCCATGATATACAGTTGGTAAAGGGATCTGAAAAGTGAAAAGGTAGGGTTTATTTTTGTCAAACATTTTGTCTAGAATTGTGGCCAAACAACTCCACCTGTGACATATCTGTTCAGAGCACATTCTTGTATTTTTGGTAATTACCGTGTTGTCTGACAAACAGCATTCATATTTTTTTAAGCAGAGGCTTCTTCCTTCCTGACCTCTCATGTAATTGGTCAGGAAGGTAATTTACTTTTGTACTTTAATATTGATTGTGGCAGGAGGGGGCTGTAGATCATTTGATGTTACAGTGGGGTTTGAATAGACTTCTATGACAATCTTCTAGTCAGCTCTTGGACTGCATTTGTGGATTGGCAGTGGTATACATTTTTCTCCATTTGTAGATGATCCGTCGGACAGCGGACCAATGTACATTAAAGTGCTGTAAAATGACTCCGCCCAGAAACATGGGCATCAATTATATGTCTCTTTGAAGGACCTCGGTTAGGTCTTTTGATCTTGGCATGATGTATTATCACACACCCCTACAGTTAAGACCAAACCAGACCAGTTGTAATCTTACACATATTTATGGGTATTTTCACCTTTGCGTTGTTGTGCGCTGTAGCGACTCGTCATGGTAGCTTGGGAACCTATCGATTAAGGTAAAGACCAAAGAGGGCAGATGTGTTCTACTATAAACATCCTGGTTGAGCAAGCAGCCTGATAAATACCAGAGCTACTTTACATATTTCTAAAATATATGTGAAGAAAGACGAGTATGAATGATACACATTGACCCTCCTACCATCCACATCTTTCTCTTAGATAGATTTTCACACACTGACTTGGTTAGATGAATGTGATTGTGGAAGTATGCCCAGCAGCCACTCGTAAACTGAAACAATGCAGTGGTCAAATATAGACTTTACTTTAAACAGAGAACGGCCAGCCTTAATGAAAGCATTAACCAGGTCAATGCAGTGTGTCAGAAGTCTCTCCAGTAGGGAGCTCCTGTGAGATGGAACCAATCATAAAAACCAGCACATCCAGAAAAACGCTTCTACCTGCCTAAAACCCTGAGGCACAAGTTAGCTATCTGAATCACTACTGCCCCCTAGTGTATAGTAGGAGGACGGGTGGGAGTGAGTAAAAAAATGAAACTTACTGTTTATCATGGTAATAATTGTTAGAAGTATTTTACCATTACATCTGTGTTCATTATAATAAGCATCTGCTCTCTTTATTCCAGTAGGTGATGGTTCTTTAGTGTCCCATCCCACATCTAGTGTTTCCACGGTGTGGCTTTCTCTCTACCTCTTTCAATATGTGGTTTTCTAATGTCTACTTCCCATATTTTACTCTCCCTCTCTGTCTTTTTCCCTAACTCTCATTTTTTTCCATCCTCCTTAGTGTCACTGCAGTGCGGCTTCCAGATGGGCTGTCCTTTGTGGTGTATGAGTTCTGGGACGGAGAGGAGGACTGGAAAAAGTAATTCCTAGATATTTGACCACTTTGACCTCTCTTTGAGTTAGTGATCCCTTCCCCCACATTTCCTGACCCTTGACCCCTTGGCCTAATTATAATTCCAACCGTCCAATTCCCTGAGTATAGGAATCAATATTTTACATTTCTATATATTACATTTAGGCGTCATTTTGGGCATCTGTTTATAACAAACGAATAAGCCCTCCTGTGAGACGAGGGTGTGATTAGGTTTGACTAGAAATGAGCCACCTTAGTGTGTCTGTTATAATATTGACACCATTTGTGAGCGTAAGAGAAGTAAAGGGGTAAATGTGTGAAACGTTGGTGTCTGCATAAACGCGCCCATCTGATCTCACTGGCTTCCTCCTCTACCCCTCAGGCATCTCCAGAGTGCATCCTGCAAGGCCTTTCAACATGTTAAAGTGGACACTTTGTGCCAGCCAGAGGCTGTGTCTACTGTTGCGGTACCAGGTTAGTCTCAGGAGAGAGCTGGAAGAGAGTGGAGATGCTGTTGGCTCAGTGCCACTGGTCTTCTGTGATGGGGAATTGACTGGGGGATAAATTAATTAGGGAGAGCAGAATAAGTCAGGGCAAACACAGACTGTGATATATATATATATATATATATACATACACATATATATTTATATCAAGGAGCCAAAACAATATGAAAATCCCAATATGGCGTTTGATGCATTTGCAGCTTTCAAAGGCAACTGTAATTTGAGCCAACATCTGCTGCCTTTACCATGGACACTGTGAACAATGCTGCAATTTAAATGCTGCAATGCCTTTCACCTATGTTCTGATTTTCTGTCTTCTACCTGAAAATGAATTGCAGTTAATGTGAATGACGTTTTGCATAGTATTGTCATGGTATCATAACACTGAGTAGAGCAACGCTAGACATGAGTGTAATGGTGAGTGTTTAAACTGTATTCTCTTCTCCGTCAGCCGCCTGGTGTAGCCTGAACAGAGACTGATGGAGGTGGGGCTGTATCGCCTGAGTCCGCAAGTCCCCAGTCCTTAGCTTTCCCCTCCTTCCTTCCCCTCCCCCCCTTACTTGCCCTCACAAAATCTTTCTCTCTTTTGTAAGTACATGTTTACACAGTGTCTGTTGGATATAGGCAAAATGGCATCAATTGCAGTGAATATTGAACAGTGCATTAAAGTGAGATTACCTCCGTCCGATGCATTTCTTCATCGTATCGTTCAGCCTCATGTCATGGTAGAAATGAGGTGAGCAGTAACCTGCTTCATGGGGTTTGTGCATGTCGTCATCATTTTGACTAAAAGACATGAACCTACTGCTGCTAATGACAGTAATATTTAAACTGTCTTTATCAAACAGTTGAGGTCATTTTCCTGTTGTGTTAACAGTACATGTATGAGTCAGCAATTGGTATATTAGCTGTCTAGTAAAATGATATGAAACATGTTCTATTATATTTGTATTAATGTCTTTAGTGATACCGTGAAAAATTCCTCAGAAGAAGTGGAAGAAAAGCAGCAGAATGTGTGGTTTGCTGCAGATATTTACCCTTTTGAACAATTCAATCTGAAGCCTTAAACATCTGCATATGGTTGAGGTTATAAGTGGATACATAGGTATGATTTTCCATGAACACATAATAAATAGCTGTTGAGCATCTGACACCCCATATTACAGTCACAATGTTCATTGCAATTGAGCAAAAAGGCGAATAACGTTTCACATGTCAATCAAAGAAATTAAACTAACATAAAATCGATGGGACTGTTCACCCTTGAGAGAACCTCTTGTGCTTATTTAGAAACATAACACCTGTATCCAACTCCAACCTCACCAACTTAAAATCCAAATGCCTAGAGACCCGGCCCAAAGAACACTGTAAATTAATGGAATGTTGGGGGTAAAAGTATTTAATTTGAAAGTAAAAAGTATTAAATTATTTAAGTTTTATCTATAAGAATTAGTGTACAAAAGAGTTGATTAGTTCTTTTGATGGTGAACTTTTTCACCTACTTTACCGTGTAATGTTTTATTTGCCCAGTAAGCACATGAAGGTGGAGGGAAGCCTGTCCCTAACAACAGAGGGAATATTAAACCCTCCCTCCTCAAGGATTAGATTCTACGGATGTCTTCGATAATACCATAACAAAGAATCCTTGTGCTGTAAAAATGAAACTGTACTTGCCTTTGTTCATAATTCGGACCACCACTGATATGAAATGAACTCATCCCAAGTTCAACTCTGGTGCTAGGCCACTTTACATTTTACTTTGAGATAACCTGGGACTTGGACCTGGGAGTGTTTAAGCACCAGTGATGATGATAGATAATAAATAGCACGCTTTGGACTTTATATTAACCTCAGCATCAGTATTACAGAACGGGACAAGAGCATGGCTCCCTTGGTGTATTAGGGTAATTTTACTGGAATGTTTTTCTATTTTATACGTAGCCTCTTTTGAGGTCTGTATTAATAGATCAGAGCCAGGCAAAATAAAATCCAACACTATTTCTGTAACATTCCTGACTGTTTACTAAACTGTGCAATGAATTTCTTTTCCCCCAATCCGTTACTTGAGTGCATGTAAAAATGAATGTTCAGTAACTTATTTGCCGTAGTATTTAGCCATGCTACTTTCAATGGGTTTGTGCGATTCTTTTTTTATAAAGTATTCCTAGAAAGGACAGATTATACAAAAATATGTATAAACTCAAAAATTACCTACAGAATGAACAATCACTTTCATGGCAATGTTTAATGAAATCCTAATTCTTATACGTATGTATGTTTCAGTAAATAGCTTTCTCTCTTTGAGTGTAGAGACTTATTGCAAGGATGCAAGTACAATATTTCGTCTTAAAACTTTGTTGGAATTCTAGATCATGTAAAGTGATGCAACTCAATAAAATGGTTATACTGAAATTCACCATACATCTGTTGATTTCTTTACACTGCTGGTAAACATGAACTGAGTATGAAGTCCAATGAAACACAAATACATTGAGCCATTCACATACCAGCAGGATCAACACCCTCTGATGTGCAAGACAAATACACAACCGTGAAAGGTGTTAGGGTCCATTAGATTACGTTTCCGTAATTTTCCATGGTTTGAACAGAACATTAAGCAAAAATAATGACTTTCATTTGAAATAATTGTGTCCTTCAAATTTTGCTTTAGTCACAGCTCTAAATACTAAACTAAAGGCAATTTATGTTGCTTCTTTATTCAGCACAAAAGTTTTTGCCTTTGCTAACGGAGTTGCGAAAGGGTTTTCTAATGATCAATTAGCCTTTTCAAAATTACAAGCTTGGATTAGCAAACACAACAA